CGCGCTGCGCCGCGGCCCCTCGCGCTCGCGGCGCTGCCTCCCGCGCGCCCTGTCATGTGGAGCCGCCTCAGCTGTTTCCTATGCAACAACGGCGGCCCGCCCGCCGCGCCTGCGCGCTGCCGCGCCGCGGGGCGCGCCGGGAGATGCAGTCCGGCCGGACGCCTCCACTGCGGCGTCGGCTCCCTCACTGGGACTACAGCTCCCGGGATGCACCGCGGCGGCGCGGGAGGGGAGGGGGGGCGGGGCGCCATTTTGCGGCGCGGCGGCGGCGGGAGCGGCGGCCGTTGGTGCCCGCGCCGCGCTCCCCGCCCCCGCCGCCAGGCGGCCCCGCGGGCGGAGGGTCCCTGTCCGCCCCCGCCGCGGCCGTTGGGATTTGAAACGCGCCGCGGAGCCGCGGCCACAGGGCTACAAGAAGGATTTTCAGCCGCGGTGTGGGAGTTCACAGCCCCGCGGGACGCGCCGTATCGTTAAAGCGGGTGCTGGCGCCCGCGCCCGCCGCAGGGTGACGGAAGGTGCAAGCTTGTGAGGCGTTTTTCAGCACGTGCCTTCAAAGGACACACATTGAGGTTGCCTTTCCTTTCAGACCTCCCTTAAACCTAAGATACAGTACCAGAACGGGCCGTACGCGGGACACAATGCTTTTATCACTGAAATATCCGCCCGTCTCAGTCGGGGTGCGTTTTCGTCTCGCAGAGGCAGAGGGGATGATCCACCGAGACGCGGATCCCACGTAAGCGTGCCAGGGCACACGATTATCGTGTGGCTCGGCTGGGGCGCAGATGGCTCTTTAATCTGATTACATAACCCGGCATTACAGAGCGCGGGCAGGTCCCGCTCGCGCTTGGAACAGTGTGACTGAATGAATGGTGCAACAACTGAAAAACAAGCACAGAATCATGGGCGATAGTAAAAGCACAATTTAAAGATTTGAAGAGTTGAGAAAAAAAATCCCACAGCCCTTTTTGTTATCCACTGACCATAAATCTAAATAAAGTAAAATCTGTATAATCCCGGACAACAGGTTTCTAACTCGCTTTTTACGTTTCCTGATATTTGGCCAGTTTAAAAGTTGCAATAGTAAATGTTCGAAGAATGGTAGCAGAATGGTTTTACCTAAGAAAAGCATAGGAAGTCGAGGCTAGGAAAGCTGGGGCAAAGGTGAGTTCCAGGAATTCTTCAGTTTAAATGTGTGTCACGAGCAGCAGCCGCTGGAATCCCACACTCTGTCTTTCGAGACACGTTTCCTTTAGCTTGTTTTCACCATACTGTGAGCACAGAATACGCCGGGCTAGGTTAAGAGCAGTTAAGGTTTGGCATATTGGATTTACCTGGCATGATTCCATAAGATGGAAAGATCAGTTGTGCATTTTAATTCTCTGTTTCTGATCTTTGCATAGTTTGTGAGCAGTCAAAGACTTTCTTACATTAATCAGCCGTGCTTGCCAATAAAAGGCTTGCATATAAACTCAATTTCAAAATGAGAAGCGTCATAGTTTCATGATCATGATTAGACTAGCAGGGCTGAGAAAGACAGTCCTCCATCCTGCAGCCATAAGATGCTCCTTTTTGCACCCAAGCCCTCCCGTGTGCCTAGAGCAGCATTTATCTGGCTGCACAGCAGCCTGGGCTGTGTTAAAACTAGCCTAGCAGAAGGAAAATTGGTGAAGTGAAGCCTGATCTGCTTTACTGCTCACTTGTGTGATGTCCCAGCACAAAGGACCAAGAGAAGAGCATGACTGCCTGACTGGTGCAAAAACCAAGGAAGAACCAGCTCTTTGGTGCCAGTGCTGGCTTAAAACAATTTGGAAATCAAGTAATACGTTAAGAGAGACAATCACGCCATTAACTAAAATGGTTAAACTGGTGCAAAACTGTTTTTTTTTTTCTGGCCCTCTGTATAATCCAGTTGCATCTGCTATGCCTTTTTAGTGTTCGACCCTGCAGTATGGAAATCAAGAACATATGAAAGTTTATGTAACATGTGCTTTTATTAAAAGATTTAAACTGGGTCCAAGAATAAGCACTATTCTAAGAGTAATCCAAGTGTTACAGGATTAAAACTGATAAACCTGTCTGCTGTAAAACCTCCGAAGATTTATAATACGTGCCCCTTCACTGGCTGTAGCAATTCAGTTCTGCAGTAAGACATCACATCAGTTACAACAGGCCTCAGGGATCCACCGTTAAAAGAGCTCACTTTTATGTAGAAAAACTACAGATATGTCGGTGCAGAAATATTAGACATACCTTACTGAATGCACCTGCAAGCAACTATTTGCTAGCATACCTCAACAACGAGCTGTGTCAAATACCTGTGCCTCACAAAGCAGGAGTAAGAGCAGCTTAAAGGATGTTTTCAAATGCGACTGCAGGCGGGTGACCATAGCAGCCTACCTTGAGCTTCGTACCCACGCCTGCAGCAGATCCTGTAATCCTTCTATTTACAAGCTCCTGTTCAGCCCAGATGAAACATTCGCTGTTCTCAACAGTGAAGGGTTGAGAGTCACTGGACTTCAGGCTGGAATGGAGAATGAAAAAATAACTCACAGAGTGATGAATAAAAGTCCAGTCCTTGTAGTTATTTTTAATCTTTGAAAAGAGATATAAAGCTTGCTTACCAGGAACAGAAACTGCTGTTTCCTCCAAATTTGGCTAGCCTCAGGTACATCCTTAATACAAAAAAAGTCTTATTTTCTGTGAAAATGGTTATAGACATTTCTGGTTATAGAAATTCAGATCTAACACTGTTCTTAATTCCCTTTCACCATCTTTGCAATTTTATCATAGACTCCCAGAAAATACACTGCTCCTTCACATCACATCCTCTCCTGACATGGACTCCTTTTATTGAAGGAAAAAACAGGAACATCTGTAGCTCCCAAGCCCTTTCCAGCATCCTCATCTTTGTAGTGTCCTAACGTAAGGGCAGACCTGGCATCCATAGGCCTGACTTTGCTCGTGGAACAGCAGCAGCAAAGGGCCCTCGGGGGCAGATGCACCAAAATCTAGAGTACAGTTAGAAATTCTGTATAAGATGATTATTTGCACTCTGTCAGGGAGAAAAAAATAAGCCTGATGCTAATATTTTTATAAAAATAAAATGAATAAAAACACGCATGGGTTTGGAGTTGACTTATTTTCCTGACTTGTAGAATTCATTCTTGGTAAAAAGAGACAGGCTTAAATTTCAACATTTTCATAACCAGAAGGAAATATGGGTTTTTTTTTTCTGCTTGTTTGTTTGTAATTTATAATATTCTGATGTGTGAGTAACACGAGCAGTGTTCAACTGCAGTTCAAAAGTATCATTAAGCTTGGCAATAGCTAAGAAAGGCTTGTGGGAAATGGCTCTAATAAAATGCTTTTTAAAAGACGTAAGTTTTAGAAGCCTTTTTATTTGTTCAGCTGTTAATATCTATCAAGATTATTAATTCCACCTAACGAAACTGATCCATTTCTTTCACAGCTGGCCCCAAGATCAGCACGTTTTGCAGTGTACTGTGTGGAATGATGCTACCAGCCAAACCTGCTTCTCTCTTTTGGCTGCGCAAGATAAAAGGGCACAAATCAATCCTTCCTCCTGTGGCTTGTGGCATACACATACTAGCAACTGGGCAGTAATTTTCTTTTCTAAAAGATCTTAAAATTGTGATTTTATACCAGCTTTTTCAGGCAGGTTTTGCTTTTGAATTTCTAGCCCTCAAAACTGCAGGGGAAAACAGTTCTTCGAAATGGAAGGGGCGCAAGCAGGAGGTGCTGCTCTGTTGCACCACGGCAGTCTCAGCAGCTCTAGGTGCCCGTCAGTCGCACGTTTCGCCATGGCCGCAGCGAGCAGCAGCGCGGAGCCTCACACGGATGCTGGGGCTGCTCAGGAGAGCCAGGCTCTCCTTAGGGCTCTCCCAACTCATCTCCTCACCTCCTGGCCTTGCACCTCCAGTGCTAGACAACAACACAGCCCCTTGTTTTACTCTTCGGAAAGGAAAAACGTCTCCCCGAACTAAGCTTTCCGGCTCCCAAGCATGCAACACATTTGTATTAACAGTTGCAACATTTTATTTACTGAGAGTAAGCCCTTTGTAAAGCAGGGATATTTACCAAGGCTAGAGGAGGAGGGGGACAGAGTAGAAGACGCACATTTTGTCCCCATGTAAAACAATTTAGAAATGTAAATTACAACTACTCCCATTTAAAAGCCCCTCTATACAACCTTAAAAATGACCTACTGGACAAACCATGACAAATTACTCCTCTCTTCTCGTACCTGTAAGAAAAGACTAGCAAAAAAACAGAGTGAAAAGGAGGTCTGTTAAGATCTTCAGATGGAGAATGATGCATGAGTTCAGAGATACTTTTCTTTCAAAAGAGAAACTGGGCTCCAAGAACAGAAACAGGGGGTAAGGGAGAAAAAGGAAAAAAAAAAAAAAAAAAAAAAGAGAGAGAAGAGGAAAAAAATATGCAAAAGGCAAACCACAATGCAAGTGGCAAAAAAAAAAGGGTTCTTGTAAGATTATGGTCAAAAAAGTTCGGTTAAGTGTAACAATTATTGCAACCAGGAACAGCTGGTGTTCCTAATATTATCTGCATTAGTACCAGGAGAGATTTGCTGTATTTATTTCCTATCATATGACCACTTCAGTTTCACTCCGTGCTCTGCAGCTGTCCCTAGTGCTGCCTCATGTGAGCGGTCTTTGTGCTGGGTATTTGGTCCACAGCACAAAGGCAAGAAACTTACTGCACTTTCAGGCCACCACAGCCCAGCGTAAGGAGGCTCCTGTTTACCCAGGAGCTGCTTAACTGGTTATGCCGGCTCTGCAACGGCACCCATGGACCTGGGAGGTGCTGAGGCAGCACACATATGCCATGTTAATAAAATATTTATTATTTCCATGCTAAAAGGGAAGTGAAAAATGGGGAAAGTTATTATGACTTCTGCTATTGTTCTTTAAGAACAGTATGGTAAACTAAGTTTTGTTTATAATCCAGCTACCTCAGGTAGCGCTGTTTTTTTTTAACCTTAATCCTAAAGCTCCTACCACATACTGAGCACAGGAGCTGCTGATGGGGAAACATGTTACATATTAGTTCTTTCCTATGTGAAAACTTTGGAAATAACATTTAAAAACGGGGCTTAATGTAATGGCCTCTTTAAATGCTTTCTCTGCTTTCTAAATCTTAGATCTTAATCTTTTTCTGTAACAACAACAACAAAAAATCTCAAGCTATATTTGCTTCCTCTTTCAAGAAGATTATCATTGGTGAATTTAGGTGACATTAATAGCTAGAGCAGCTGTTACTCACCTTCATCATCAGTCAGGCACACTCGGTATCTCAGGTACTCACCCTTGCAGCTGCAGGCTGGAGTCCGCCAAAGCCAGTCACTTTTCACAGCAGAATTTTCCTGTCCTTATTGCCACACCGTGACAGATTCCATAGGGGCATCCGGGCTCAAGCAGAGTGTCTGGAGAGAGACAGAGCCTCTTTACCCAACGCAACGAGTTAGAACTAGCACAGTCACCATATAATGTATTTTCACCAGAACAAGTTTGACATCAGAGTTAACATCATGCAGACTTTGCGACTTCCTCAACTGCATCGGTAGCAAATGTCATGAATCTATTAACTCAACTGTGAATTAAGGTTCAAATGAAAGTTCTTCCTTAACTCTTTCCCTTACCCTGATCACTGAACTTCTGTATTTTCTCTGTCTATACACTATTAGCAAATGGAAAAAGAAATGAGGAAATTAGTAATGGAAGTGAACAGATGTCAGACTTAGAAAGGTTTTGTGTTTTATTTATTTATTACTTAGCCACAGTAGCCCACAACCTTTTTGATGCTCTTTTCCCTGTATCCAGTGTTACTAGTCACTACATGGCTTATCCTTCTTCATTTACTGAAGAGCAAGTGAAGTTAGTAAATAGTGCTCCAAATTTTAATTGTGCAGCAGATTAGAAACTCAAAAAGGGCTTGAAAACAGGGAGCCATAAAACCTAACAGTCATTTTATGAGCTGAGTTACTCAAGCAGAAGCTTAAAGTCACAGAGTTTATGCTGCTTGGTCTCCGCAGTTGTCATCCACATGCGGTTTATAAATTAACCACATGGACTGACCGAAGTCAATGCTGCGGAGATCCCTCCTTTCAGAAGAGCCACAGCGACTGAATCTCGAGACCAAATATGTGGTTTTGCATGAAAAAGCATGGTATAAAGAAAAAACAGTGGCAGCTTAATGTGGAACTAGACACGCAGAGAAAAAAGAAAAAAATAGAAAAGAAAAAAGAAAGAAGCTTTTTCATGTATAAGGATTTTGGCAGGAAAGCGCTTACAGCTTTGGAACTGAGAAGATTCTAAAGCCAGCATTCCTGCAGTGCCATGGAAAGCTTCCAGTGTCATATTCAACCACGGAAAATTTTTAATACTGCCTTCCTTGTTGGAGGGCAGACAGATGTAGAGACTACAACCGCTTGCTTTCCTACACAGGCCTGTGTTGCATGATACGGTATGATACAACCACCTATCCATCCATCTGTATACGTCCACCATATGGTTTTTTTTCTAGACTCCCTTCCTTTATATAAAAGGGAGCTTAGAAAAGGGATCTCTTTAAAAGAATGAGGGGATGGATGTTCAAGACCTTTTCTAAACCATTTGATCATGCCATTTTTTGAGCGGGAGGGCTCATTCTTCTCACAGTAATGACACTTTCCCATCCTACTTGCTCTTCCGGGAATGCTCCATGTTCTTGGAGGAGATATGAAAAAAGATGCCCAGAGGAATTCTTCCTCTAGTTAGGCCACATGATTCCCCATGTCACATCCAAACTATTCTTGCCATGAACTTCCTAATTAGCTTTAAAAGCCTGAGTAAGAATACAAGAAACTTGTCTAAGGTTTTTTAACCTTAACTTTTTAACAAGTCGCAGAGAATGCCTAAGAGGGGTAAAAAGCACAAGCAGAGCAAGTATCTCCTCTGCTCCCTAGCGTTAAAATCCCTTTTTTTTTTTCTTTTGTGCCTGCAAGCACCCTGATTATTTCTCGATGACATGAACTCTCAGAGGTCACGAGTTGCTATTTTAGAAGAAATAACACCGAGAGAACTGGATTTCCTGAAAAAAATGGTATATCGCTTAAGTGTCATTGGACTTTCAACTGCATCAGGGAGAATTCCAGAGCAAAACTCTTTCGGATGGGGTCATCCTCGTGTTCACATGGTTGTGAGCAGCGCAGGAGGCAACGGTGGGACGTGGCGCTTGTTTTGCACCACACATACGAATGGGTGCATTATAAAGCCTTTCCGCACGCTAGCTAGAAAACACTGTGCAGAAACAGCCGCGTACAAGTGCTTTACCACAGAGAAAGGAGGATGAGTAACCCACCAGGCAGCCCGACTCGCCAACCAAATCAGGGTGCTTTCCAAGTAATAAAGGATACTTTCAAAATGAATGGAAAACACAGTCCATGAACATCTGGGCCTCCGCACAACTCACTGTTACGATTCCAGAACATCGATTTTCCTCCGGAGAGGTGAGGGAAGTGTTTACAGTAATAAAAAGCCAACAGCAGATAGAACACAGAATATCCCCAGTGTAAATGTTTACTCCGAAAGATAAGCCTGGCTCTGTTTGTAGGTTAAACACTACCAAAAGGAGCAGCCCCACAAGCAGGATGATGCTAGAGCCCAGATAACCAGATTCTGCCCGGAGGAAACACTTCCGTACAGCTTGGAAAAGATTTGGACTTATTTTTATTCCCCCAGTTTAAACTACATCTTTCAGTGCTCCCATTTAAGCAAACACATAAGGCTTAGTAGGAAACAGGGTCAAAGGAGGCATCTGTTACCATATTAGTGAACTGTCTTGTGCGAACGAGCCTTTGTCATACGGAAAAAATGAACTTGAGCCCCAGGGCCTGCTCAGTGCTCCTGACTCCAAGCCGAGTAAAGGCCCACAAGCGCAGATTCCCGGCCAGCAGCTCCCGCTGGTGACGCGCGGCAGGGAAAGCCCCGGCTCCAGCCAAGCTCCGCTTCTGCACTTTCCACCCCCGGCTCTTCAGCGAGGAGGGCGCGACCGCCCAGGCAGGTGCCGCTTCCCCTCGGCCGCCTCGAGGCTCCCCGGCACCGGGTCGAGCACGGCAAGAAGCACACGCCTCTGCAAGGCCCAGACCCCAGGGCCGCCCTCTCCAGCCGCGCCAGCTCGAGGCGGTAACACGGACAATAAAAACAACAGCGAGCACGTCTGTGACACGGGCCGTCGGCGCGGCGCTGCCCGCGTGACCTTCGCCCGCCCCCGGCGGCGGCGCGCGGGG